TCGGGGACCGCTTTGCAGAACACCTACGCTCGGTTCGCAATAAACAACTGCACCTCCCAGTCGCGAACCATTTCAACTCCCCCTCCCATTCCTCAGACGACATGTCCATCCTGGGCCTCCTGCAGTGCCACAACGATGCCACCTGAAGGTTGCAGGAACAGCAACTCATATTCCGCTTGGGAACTCTGCAGCCCAATGGTATCAATGTGGATTTCACAAGTTTCAAAATCTCCCCTCCCCCTACCGCATCCCAAAACCAGTCCAGCTCGTCCCTGCCTCCCTAACCTGTTCTTCCTCCCACCTATCCCCTCCTCCCACCTCAAGCCGCACCTCCATCTCCTACCGACCAACCTCATCCCGCCCCCTTGACCTGTCCGTCCTCCCTGGACTGACCTATCCCCTTCCTAACTCCCTACCTACACTCACCTTTCCTGGCCCCATCCCCGCCTCTTCGACCTGTTTGTTTCCTCTCCACCTATCCTCTCCTCTATCCCTCTTCTATCTGCCTCCCACTCTCTCCCTATTTATTTCAAAACCCCCTTCCCCTCCCCCTTTTCTGATGAAGGGTCTAGGCCCGAAACGTCAGCCTCTCTGCTCCTATGATGCTGCTTGGCCTGCTGTGTTCATCCAGCCCTGCACCTTGTTGTCTCGGATTCTCCAGCATCTGCAGTTCCTACTACCCCTATATAAAAATAAAAGTTCTTTCTAACCTGACTTCAATCAATTCTGCACTGAACTGACTAGTGGGAAATCAGTGGTTACTTCTGTTCCCCACCCATTGCTCATTCTCACTATATGGAGCTGTTTGAATGCAGGTATCAGTAGTGACTCCGTGAAAGCATTCTTGTCTCTATGTCAGAAGATTCAAGGTTTTACTCCAAAGACTTGAGCATAAAATCCAGGCTGACACTTGCAGTGCAGTAGTGAGACCACTACAGAAAGCTGCACTTTCAAAGGGGCTGCCTTTTGAATGAGACGTTAAATCAAGTCTGACCCTGTCTAGATGAATGCAAACGATCCCGTGACATTGTTTTGAAGAGGAGCAAGGGAATTATCCCCAGTGTCGAGGCCAATACTTAGAGTCATAGAGTTGTACAGCATGGAAACAGGCCCTTCGGTCCAACTCATCCATGCTGACAAGATATCCTAAACTGACCTAGTCCCATTTGTCAGCATTTCGCCCATATCCCTCTAAACCCTTCCTATTCATATACCCATCCAGATGCCTTTTAAATGTTGTAATTGTACCAGCCTCCGCCACTTCCTCTGGCAGCTCGTTCCATACACGCACTACCCTCTGCATGAAAAAGTTGCCCCTCACGTCCCTTTTAAATCGTTCCCCCTCACCTTAAACCTATGCCCTCTAGTTTTGGACTCCCCCACCCTGGTGAAAAGACCTTGGCTATTCATTCTATCCATGCCCCTCATGATTTTATAAACCTCTATAAGGTCACCCGTCAGCCTCCAACACTCCAGGGGAGAAAAGCCCCAGCCTATCTAGTCTGTCCTTATAACTCAAACCCTCCAGTCCCAGTGGCATCATTATAAATCTTTTCTGAACTCTATAAAGTTTAACAACATCTTTCCTGTAGCAGGGAGACCAGAATTGAATGCAATATTCTGAAAGTGGCCTCACCAGTTAGTCTTCAACCACCATTTAATGATCAAATAATCTGTTTTATTATCATATTGCTGTTTGTGAAAGCTTGCTGTGTGCAAATAGGCCACTGTATTTCCTACATCGCACTGTGACTACATTTCAAAAATGTTTAATTGGCTGCAAAGCACTTTTGGACATTCTGGGGTTGTAAAGATGCTATATAAATGCAAATCCTTTCATTCTTTCTCTTGTTTTCTGGCACTACCTGTTGGTACTGCCAATGCTTCAAGTCACCCTCTAAATTAACTTGTTCTAATATGGATATGTGATATTTTCAGGGTCTGGCTCTTTGTCAATACTTTGAGGACCAGAAGATGAGTTTCTGTGGGAGGAAGGTGATTGAACTGGGTGCAGGCACTGGAATTGTGGGGATTCTTGCTGTTCTCTTGGGTAAGTTTAAAGTCAAATATTATATGGGGCAAGCAATAATGAGGATTCGAGATCACAATCAGATCAGCCATGATCTTATCAGATGATGGAGCAGACTAGAGGAGCTGAGCGGCCTACTCCTGCTCCTAATTTATACATATCAAAGTACAGCTTGTAATGTTGGAGAGGAAAACAGAAAGCAAGGCATATGAAATATAAACAAAGAATGCTGGAAGAAGTCAGCAGAGCTGGCAGGTTCTGTGGAGAGAGTAAGAGAGTTATTTTTTCAGGTCAGTAATCTTTGAACTGTTGGTTTCTCCACAAAGGATGCTTGACCTGCTGAGTATTTTCAGCATTCTCTTGTTGATTTAAGATTCTCAGCATTTCCTTCTTCAGTAATAACATGCTTTATGTTGCTGGAAGAGGGGGGCTATGATAAAGGAAATGTTTGCTTGCTAAACACAGTTCCCCTCCAATGATCCACATATTATTATTGTCATTCCTCTGATGATTTAGCTGGTGTGTGTGCACATATTATTCTGCATCTACGCTCTGAAGGAGTAGATGGCTCCAATTTGGTACAGTCAGCAGTAGAAGCCTGCAACCAACTTGACTCTCTTCTTTATTAATCCAACACCTGAACTAGGAAGGTGTGTGGTACTCTGGCATTGCTGAGGATTGACCAGCCAACCTAATGAAACTTGAGAAATGGTGGATGTGTCACTGAGAGCTGGGATTCTTTCCTCCTCAACTCCTGGAAGCCAGCGCTCCAAAAGGGTGATCCTTGCCGTCGTAACCGGTGATTGCACAGATTTATCTGGTTAAACTTCAACATGTCTAATCCTGGGAGTCTCTATGCTTTCATTGTTAAATCTATGCTGCTTCTTTTTGGATTTGGCTAAATCATTTTTGTCTGCAAAGGAAGAGAGACTGTTGGGCCAGCAGAAATAAACTTTGTGGATTTCTTGAGAATTCTTTTCCCCCTGTTCAATTTACACCATGAACACATCCAGTTTTCTATCTCTATAACCTTCTCCAGCCCTAAAATCCTTCTAGACCTCTCTGCTCCCTCAGGTTTGGCCCCTCATATATCGCTGATTTTTATCACTTCACCATTGGCAGCCATGCCTTCAGCCATCTGAGTACTTAGCTCTGGAATTCCCTCCCTAAAATTCTCTCGCTTTGTTTCCTCCTGCAGGTTCCTGTAAACCTACCTCTTTGATCGAGCTTTTGGTCACCTATTCCAAATTTCTCCTCGTGTGGCTCAATGTCAAACTTTGATTGTTGCTGCTACAAAGCCCCTGGGATGTTTTTACTATGTTAAAAATGCTATACCGTTGCAAGCTGTTGTTTAGGATTGGCGACTTTTAAAAATGGCGGACTCCAAAAATCTCAGGAGTAATTATAAATGAAGAAATGTCTTTTTTTTAAACTCATCAGGTGGCGATGTAACCATCACGGACCTACCACAAGCTTTGAAACAAATAGAGAACAACGTCTTGGCCAACATCCCCTCTTCCTGTGCTCATCGCTGCCAGGTCTGTGCCCTATCCTGGGGCAATAACCATAGTCACTTTCCCACTGACTATGATTTTGTTCTGGGCTCTGACATTGTGTATCTCCCTGAAACCTATGCTTCACTCATCCATACTCTGCAGCACCTTAGTGCACAGAGGGCCACCATTTATCTCTCTTCCAAAATGCGGAGGGAGCATGCAACTGTCTTTTTCTATGAGGAGATCCTGCCTCAGCATTTTCAGTGCCAACTTCTTTACAGGAATGAAGAGAAAAATATTAACCTGTACAAAATAACCAAAAAATAACTGAGTGTCAGAGAGCAGCAATGGGAAGAGAAATCTGTCATTTAATATGACTGTCAAGATGAGGCAGACCTTCTGTGGGTGACCCAATTAGTATTTGGTTTGAAGAATTATTTTCTATCTTGTAATAAGAATACTTCTAATTTTCTTTTGACCTCTTTCTTGAAAACCTGTTTAATTCTTGAAGTTGGTAGCATATCCTAGGATGCAGTTCAATGTATTTCACTGATAATCTGTTTCAATGACAACTTAGCTAAATGGCTACTCTTCACATCAGCTACAAGAGTTAAGGGACCATTTTACCATTTAGGATATTACAACCAAGGCCCATGCTGTTCAACCGTCTCTGGCTTGTTGTTTCTCCATCTCCAACCCCATCTTTGGCCCAAGGGGACTGAAATCAATAGGAGTGTTGTTACTGCCTCTTTGGCTGAGAACCTCGCTGTAATAATTCAGTGAACTGTCAGATGTATCCTTTTTTTTGAACAAATATAATGGTTTTATTTAAGCAGTAAGACATTACTGAGAGAGTGAATTTGGGAGGGACAAGGACAGCTGAACAAACACACAGACAGCTGAAATAACATGTTTGATTATTGTCTGCCTGCTGTTATTTATTCAGCTTTCTCACACAGTTGCACTTCAGCAGAGACCAACACTGGCAGTATACAAAATATATCAACAAAAATAAGCATAAAGCTGATTTCTCTGCCTGTAGTTAGGGTGCCAGCTTGGGAGATCCATGTGGAAGGGATGCCCTCCAAAACCTCAATTAAGTGGGCAGTATTAATATGTGGACAGTATAGCTCAGGTGGTTTGATAAAGGGGTGGTGTTCAGAATGAAGCCTGAAGCTGTACTTACCTGACATGTCTTTGTACACACACACATGATCAGGAGCAGGGACTGTGTTTCCTCTTCCCTCATCCCAACCAATAAATACTGAGGCCAAATGTAATGTTGCCATTGCTGCCTAGGTTGACTCCGTATTAACACTTGTTTAATGTACTTAACATTTCAGTAAAGTACTAACCTTGGGATTCTCAGAATAGAAACTCCATGGAAAACTCACTGAACAATCTGAGAGCTAACATTGATAATAATTATGTAGATGTTACCATCTTCCTGATTGAAGTAAGATACATTTTGGATGAAGAAAACAACAAAATTATGTACATTGAAATTATGCTGCAGTGAGGAATGTCAGTGCTGGACAAAAGAATATTTTTCCATACTTTGTATTGAATGGTTGATCTTTATCCAACACATGCTATGGACCTTGAATCTTCACTGGCAGCTCACCTCCAAAGAATCAACTGCATGGTGTTGACTTTGCATGCCTAAATCATGGCACAGGCAAGCATCCTTAATCCACTAGCCTGACTTTTCCTCAGCTTTAAAATGTAATTCACGCCATGGACTTTCACTGGATCTACAATAAATGGATCATGGAAGCCCCCAAATTCGTTTCACAGAGGTCTACTGGAAGGACTACTCATTACACTATTCTGTGTTGAATTTAAACCAGGTTAGCTGAAAGACCAACTGCGTGATGCAATGCTACCCAACTAACACTCGCCAAAAATAATTATATTTATGATTACATTTATGGAAATTTTTTCAGGGTTGTTTTTCAAACATAAATAGTTCCTCAAAAATGAACATAATATTGAAGAAAAGTGCCTCCAAACTAACTGTGCCTGTTTGGCTGTACTGTGTATCAGCATTTTGTGTAGCTGGGGTTACCAAGTTTTTGTATGCTAACCACTTTGTGTTATATTTGCTTTAACTCCCAAACCAAGAGAATGTATTGCAATTGCCAAAGAGAAACAGACACCCAACCAATTACCACTGTTCTGAAACTTGGTCAGTAGTTTTATTCTGTAAAATGCAACCAAACTGTTCATAAAGACAAAATCTTTCAAACACCTTGTTGTCATTTTGTTAAATTGAAAGAACAAACATGTATTTCTACAGCGCCTTTCATATTCTTAGGATATCCCAAAGGTTTTCACTGTCAATGAGGCACTTTAACAGTATAGTCACTGTTGCTATAAATGTGCTATCTCTTGCTAAGCAAGGTTCAACAGATGCCAGAAAACCTCTGATACCTTACCCAAGTAGTCATTCACATGAGATGAGACAGACCATTTGACTGTAGAAGGCATCCTATATTGATATTTTGTCTTTCCTCTCTAGCTAATAAGTGCTGAGGAAAATTGTAGTGTCATTCTACCTTAGGTAATATTTGCTACTACAGCAGAGACTTGGGATCAAACCTGGGACCATCTGATCTATGTAGCTAAATTCCAAATTGATCACATAAGTTTCACAAGAAAATTGCAAATGAGGAAGTTCACTTTTTTATTCACTCTTGGGACGTGAGCAAAGTTGGCTGGCCAGCATTTTTATTGCCCATCTCTAATTGCCCTTGAGAAGGTGGTGATAAGCTGCCTTCTTGAATCACTGCAGTCCACCTGTGGGTTGACCCACAATGCCCTTGGGGGGGGTAATTCCAGGTTTTTCACCCACTGACACTGAAGGAACAGCGATGTGTTTCCAAGTCAGGATGGTGGGTGGCTTGGACAGGAACTTGAAGGTGGTAGTGTTCCTGTATATCTGCTGCCCTTGTCCTTCTAATTGGAAGTGGTCGTGTATTTGGGAGGTGCTGTCTACAGATCTTTGGTGAATTTCTACAGTGTACCTTTTCGATAGTACACACTGCTGCTCCTGAACGTTGGTGGTGAAAGAAGTGGATGTATGTGAATGAGGTGCCAACCAGGTGGGCTGCTTTGTCCTGGATGGTGTCAAGCTTCTTGAGTGTTGTTGGAGCTGCACCCATTCAGGCAAGTGGAGAGTATTCCATTACACTCCCGACTTATGCCTTGTAGATGGTGGGCAGACTTTGGAGAGTCAGGTGATGAGTTACTCACTGCAGTATTCCTAGCCTCTGACCTGCTTTTGTAGCCACAATGTTTATGTGGCGAGTCAAGTTGAGTTTCTGGTCAATGGTAAACCCAAGGATATTCATTGATGATTACATGGTTGAATGTCAAGGGTTGGTGATTAGATTATCTTTTATTGGTGATGGTGATTGCATGAGATTTGTGTGGCATGAATGTTACTTGCCACTTATCATTCCCAAGCCTGGATATTGTCCAGATCTTGTTGCATTTGAACATGGACTGCTTCAATATCTGAGGAGTTGCAAATAGGGCTGAATGTTGTGCAATCATTGGTGAACATCCCTACTTCTGACGTTATGATGGAGGGAAGGTCATTGATGAAGCAGCTGAAGATGGTTGGGCACAGGACACTACCCTGAGTTATACCTGTGCCAGGTATGACTCTAACTAGTGGAGAGTTTTCCCCTGATATCCATTGATTCAAATTTTGCTATGGCTCCTTGGTGCCACACTCGGTCAAATGCAGCATTGATGTCAAGGGCTGTCACTCTGACTTCACCTCTGGAATTCAAGTCTTTTGTCCATATTTGAACCAAGGCTGTATGAGGTCAGGAGCTGAGTGACCCTGGTGGAACCCAAATTGGGCATCATTGAGCAGTTGTGCTTGATAGCACTGTTGATGACACCTTCCATCACTTTACTGATGATTGAGAGTAGACTGATAAAGTGGTAACTGGCCAGGTTGGATTTGTCCTGCTTTATGTGTATAGGACATACCTGGGCAATTTTCCACATTGTCGGGTAGATGCCAGTGTTGTAACTGTGCTGAAAGAGCTTGGCTAGGGAAGTGGCAAGTTCTGGGGTACAAGTCTTCAGTATTATTGCTGGAATGTTGTTAGGGTCCATAGCCTTTACAGTATTAAGTGCCTCCATCCATTTTTTGATATCATATGGAGTGAATTGAATTGGTTGAAGACTAGTATCTGTAATAATGGGGACCACTGGAGGAGGCCGAGATGAATCATCCAGTTCGGCACTTCTTGCTGGAGATTGAAGATTTGGCCCATAATGGTCTGTTAGAAATAGAAGTGGGAACCATCTTTTATATCATTATCATGTGTTACAGATTACTTTATTGCCTACAATTTTCTTTCCTTCTCTCAAAGCTGCTAATTGATATACGCACACAGCGGCCAATTTATGCACAGAAAGCTCTCACAATGGATACATGATTAGTTAATCTGTTTTTGGTAGTGTTGATTGAGGAAGGCATGTTGGCTAGGATAAACAGCGCTCACAGATATTTTGTTTTTAAGTCCACGAACGCATGGGGATGTTCATTTAGCACCTCCACTGCAAAGACATCACCTGGAGGTGTCAGCCTAGTCTACAGGCTGAAGTCTCTGCTGGGAGATCTCATAGAAACCTATAAAATTCTAACGGGACTAGACAGGGTAGATGCAGAAATAATGTTCCTGATGATGGGAGGATCCAGAACCAGGGGTCGTAGTCTAAGAATATAGGGTAGACCACTTAGGATTGAGATGAGGAGTAATTTCTTCACCCAGAGCCTGTGGAATTCAAAAGAAAGCAGTCAAGGCCAAAACATTGTATGATTTGATGGAGTTGGATATAGCACTTGGGATAAAGGGATCAAAAGATAAGAGGTGAAATGGGAAAAGGCTATTGAGGTAGAGGATCAGCCATGATCATAAATGAATGGTGAAACAGGCCCGAAGGGCTTACTACTCCTATTTTCTATGTTTCTATGATTCCAACCATGGTCTAATTTTGAAACTTGAATCCTGCATTCAGTTAAACAATGCTTCTGCTTTCGAAAATATTCCTTGAACAGTTGGACAGACACTGAACAATGGGAAACAAAGTTGCTGGAAAAGCTCAGCAGGTCTGGCAGCATCTGTGAAGGAGAAAACAGAGTTAACGTTTCGGGTCCAGTGACCCTTCCTCAGAACTGAACTG